ATGTCAATCGGAGTCTAACCAAATTCAGCATAGCATTATCTTACATTTTTTGGCTCTAGCAGGTGACAAAACATCTCTCACTTATGCTTGACATGGAGTACGTGAACATAACGATACCTCTTTGCATCCTCCTTGAACCACTGATGATTGAACGAGGGCCATTCTTATCGGCCACGAAGCTGGCAATTCTGGCTACTATCAAGCACAAATCTAATGGGAGGACTCATCGTAACGATCGAAAGATGAATGGAGTCGCAACAGGCACTCCCAGCCACTCACAATTTTCCACTTAACAAGAACCCTTGCACCTCACTATTCCATGTTCGCGAGGTACTTTGTGTGACGGGTGACTTCATAAGAATAAATGAGCATTGTTATTGCTATTTTGCGCTGCTCATGTTCCTGTCGCGACTCACAAAAATCTATGGACCTAAAGTCAAAGCAGCAGCAGCAGCAACCGTGGTAAACTTTGCGATTGACCGATCCTCGGAACTACGACTTCTGAGCTGCTAACTAGTCCTTGATGGGTCGATATGGCCTCGAAAAATATCCAAAGCTATGCTTCAGAAGCATGGGAACGTGTCAAGGCGGCATTCCAACCTAACTTCTACCGCTTACATTTGTGCTACTTCGTAGCTGCCATACTTGTTTCTTCAGTTGTTCTATGGCGGTCGAGTACGGCAGATTTTCATGTCCGCTACGTTGATGCCCTGTTTCTTTGCTGCTCGGCCATGTGTAATGTTGGCCTCAATACTGTGAATCTTGGGTCCCTCAACGGCTTCCAGCAGTCTGTTCTTTTCGTCATGATGCTAATGGGCGATTTGTCCTTGGTGACTATCTCTGTGGTCATTGTTAGACGATATTACTTCGAAAAGTACATGAAGGAGTTTCTGCAGCATTCGAAGGCTGGCCGAAGGATTGTTAGAGATCTTGAGGAGAGTGAAACATCGTCTGAGAGCTCGGGTCGAAACATGATACCTGCACCACGGAGACGACGGCAAACCGGGCCTGAACACGGGCAGAAACAGACTTACCAAGCAGAGACCTTTCTCAAAAATAGCAAACTACAGCACACTTCTGGTTACGGAGGTTTCCCTACTCCCTGGGACAGTCACCACTACCATGGCATCTTCAGAACCTTGTGGCGAAAATTGGGTGGTTGGCAGTTCCCTGAGCACTCATACCTCTCCTTCGAGCCGAAGCTGGATCTTAAGGGTCGCTTTCACTCGTTGACGACGGAGCAAGAGCAGGAACTAGGCGGAGTCGAATATCGAGCTTTGCAGCTTCTTACCTGGCTTTTACCAGCTTATGCAGTGTTTTGGATGGGCTTAATCATCGCCGTGATGACGCCATATGTATCCCATACTACTGCTGGCAATGTGATTAGGACATCACAGCCAGGCAATCTCAGTCCAGCATGGTGGTCTCTCTTCGCTTCGGTATCTGCGTACACGAATTGCGGTCTCAATCTTCTTAACGAAAACATGATCCCGCTGAATAACAATTACCTGGTCCTCATCTTCACCGGAATGGTCATCCTCGCGGGCAACACACTATATCCAGTCTTCCTTCGCGGTACCATCTGGCTCCTTTCGAAGCTAGTCACCAAAAACTCAGAGACTCACCACACGCTTATGTTTCTGCTTCATCACCCTCGACGATGCTATCTTTTCCTCTTTCCTGCCAAGAACACCTTCATCCTCCTACTCGTTCAAATCGCCATCAACCTTACAGCCTGGATGCTATTCCTCATCCTCAACATTAACTACACTCCAGTTGACCCATTGATGCCACCAGGTCTTCGTGTATTCGACGGCCTCTACCAAGCCCACGGCCTGCGTGCCTCTGGCTTCTACATAATTCTCATCTCTGATGTTGCTCCGGCTCTTCAATTCTTCTACATGGTAGCTATGTATATCTCGGCTTTCCCAATCATCATGTCTATACGTACGTCAAACGTGTACGAGGAGCGTAGCATTGGTCAAGAGGACGAGAACAAGACAGAAGACGCCCTTCGAGATCCAAGCAAACAGCAAAAAGCAGAGTCAAAACTCGGCCAACACCTTCGTCGCCAGCTTGCATATGATATCTGGTGGATTCTTGGTAGTGTCTGGTTAGTATCAATTATCGAGCGTTCAAAACTCGCACCTTCGCCGCCGGCACCAGCAACCTCGCCAGAACCAACCTCTTTGTCCAGTCCGCATCCAGCATTTTCTAATGGTCTCTTTGGCATCTTGTTCGAAACTGTATCTGCTTATGGCACTGTTGGTCTTTCACTTAGCGTGCCCTACGACAACTACAGTTTCTGCGGAGCATGGCAATCGCTGTCGAAGCTGATACTGATGACAGTCATGCTACGTGGTCGCCATCGCATCCTTCCTATGGCGATTGACCGCGCGATTTTGTTGCCAGGACAAGATGTTATGGAGGAAGCGGACAAGAGATTCCGTGTGAATGAAGAGACGGAGCGCGAGTGGGATCAAGACAGAGAGGATATCCGCGACGATGAAAGAGGAAGCGACGTTGAACAGAATCAGGAGCAAGGCAAGAATGATCAGGTACGAGGCAAGGGTGCACAGTCGGAAGATAATGACCAAGACAACGACGAGGATGATAATGAAGCACGATGAAAGGCGAGCAGCCATAGAGACATAAAAGCGCAATGCTCTTTAGGTGTAGCTCTCACTCATCACCAGCTGCATGTATTGGATATTGTACCAGTTACAAAGGAAGCGTCCTGTCCGACCTAAAGACGAAATTAATTGCTGCCCTCGCTTTCTGCTGGCTTCTGACTGGCTTCGATCAAGTTCCGCGTTCAATGCTGTTCTACTTCGAGATCAGTATACTAGATCGAAGAACTAGCTTGGAAAGATTGTCAATTTGCACTTCTTGAGAGAAACAAAGTCCCTATGAGCGGAGTCCTCCAGAATTGCTTAGAGAGGTTAGCAGCTGGCCAGTTCACCTTTTCCTGTGGGGAATGACTGCAATACAAGTGAGTGAGCATGCAAAGCAGACCCTTTTTTGGATGCAAGCTTGAGAATATCTCTTGAACGCCTCATCATAAACACGTCATGATTTCAAAAGGCAGTGTTCGATTTTGGTAGACGGAAAGTACTTCAAAGAACGCTACTTTTGGGAACTTTCTCCAAGAATCCTGAGAATGTCTTCAAAGGCTTTCCCATTTAGATCAACCATGCTCGGCAGAGAGATCACAGTCACCGGACGCAGCTCATGGAGTGCATTTTGGAAACCGCCGCTGGGCTCTTCGAGGGTCTTGTGAGCTGTTCGCAGGAGACAGAAGATCATGGAAAATAAGCACTGGACCACAGTGTCAAGCTGGATAATTTTCAGGTCTCCTAGAGACAGTGAGAGAGCCGGCTCGATCTACTAATTAAAGTGGTATCAACCAAGGAAGACCGCTTTGTGCGTGTATTGTCGCGCATCTCACTTGTGTTTGCAGAGCCTGCTGAGGTCCTCAACAACGATAGCTTGCATTATTGGGATGCTTCAGAAACAATATTGGGTGGTCTTTGGCATCTTTTCACCTTCTGGTACACCTCCAAAGCTCATAGACTGTCATATATTCGCTCGATATCAGCGTCCAACTTCAAGTAGTGCAGTATGCTTCAGGAGAACGTCCCTTCAGCACGTTGTGTTGAGTTTACCTAGACTGAATAGACCTAGTGTACAGGCAACATTGAGATATTAGTTATCGGCGATGGACAGCTAGATCTTCATCTCGTGTACTTCTGCCTTTATTGTGCGGCAGCGGTTGGTAACATTGAATACGGATGCGACTGTGGAGCTTCGTATCTCTTCGCTTGCATCAGATTGTCCGTTGTGCTCGTGTTGAAGCAGTTGATGGATGCATGTTCAACAGCGGCATGATTCTCCTGCTTGTTTCAGGGTACATTGTTGACCATTTTGACGAGCAGGAACCTGTGACTAACAAGCCATTCCACAATTTGCAGCGTTCTCTCACTTTGCAAATCATTCAGGATCATCAAAACTCAATTTGACCTTCTTTCTTTTGCCTTTCTTTGCTGCTGTGCCCTCTGTGGCAGCCCTTTTAGCTTCTTCCTTGTTCTGCTCGACAGCAGCCTGTAGATCCTTCGTGCTCCTTTTCATCGACTTTACCGGCACATCTTCTGCATCATTCCCATCACCTGCCAAATGATCAAGCTTCTGCTCCCCGTCGTCCCCTATCACTTTTGCTGCTTTCCTCTTCTTACCAAATCCACTGGCCACATTCGCGTCTGTCGGTTTGTGTTCAGTGACGGGCTTAGCTTCTACATCGTCGGTTGCAATACCCTCTCCAGTATGCAGCTTCGAGTCAGCCGTAGCTTCCGGCTTCCTCATCGCCTCCATATCTTCTTTGGAAACCTCATTACCTGTCTCATCAAGCATGATGGGATCGTCCTCTCCTTCATCGCCGTCCATTTTCAATCTGTCGTTCCGACCACCACCGCCACGAGCACGAGGTATTTGAACATTGTGTCTATCGTCGAGCGCTGCATGTCCTGCCTTTAGCCGGCGGAGGAAGGCTGGCTCACTTGCTTGATATTCGAGACCTGGATTTTTGGGCATACTCGAGGTGTTGATGGCAGCAACTGTGGTTATGTTGACAAGTAGTACTTTTGGAAACTAGATGCACCTTGCAACTAGAGGCGTCGCACTATAAGCACAGGCTCGGAAAGAATATGCTGTTCAAGAGATTACAAACATGTGCGACGCAGAAGTGGTCAGAGCTTGTTGACTTCTTAGCGTATAAATTGAACTGTTGACTGAAGAAATTGCCTTGACTTGTACAGATCACCTTGTTTGATGTGAAGGAGTATAAAGTATGAACAAAACTGACACTGCCGGGGTCAATTAAAGCAAGTCTTAGCGCCAGATTCCGGGCCGCAAAGTATGATGTATATAACAATAACGAGCAATTTTTACCCCTGGATTTTGCACACAAGACATTATGGCCGAGTAAGGACAATCTTCTTCTGTGTTACTTAATAAGTCCAACTAACATCCAATAGGTGGTTAAGGCGATAGACTCGAACCTATCTGTTGATTCGTGGTATCTATTGGGTTCGCCCGCTCAGGTTCAAATCCTGATGATGTCGATGCATTTCAAAGTTTTGCTTTTTTTGGCTGAACAACGAAGTACAGATTCAATTTTTGTTTGAGATGATGGAGGTGCGAGGCCAAGGTTTCTCAAGTTGCGTGAGACCGAAGCCTGTGCTCGAAGACCTTGACAGCCATTTTAGGCATTAGAAGCTAGGCCTTGTTCAGGAAACTAGGCTATTGGTCTCAAAGTCGGCATCATAGATGCATCCAAAATTATTTGGACGAATCTATGAACACTTGAGTAACAACGTTAGCTCATCTACTTAGACGAACAAGTTCTTTCGACTCTTTATTGCTTCAAATATGCGACATCTTCACAGCCAATAGCTACTACATCGATTCTCACAGTGTGCGAAACTCATTACCTGCACCCTCCTCCTTCGAAGGCCGTGAACCATCCACATTCTACCCACTACCTCGACGTGCCAACCACGAAGATGTCAAGCCCAAACGACCCCTCTAGAGAGCCGACTCTCGAACAGAAAATCCGCATGACCAACTCTTTCGGCAGCTTCCTCCACAATACTTCACTCGCCATGTTGGTGATAACGCCCGTGCTTATCGCGCTCCCTCCCCGCAAGCTCGACCTGTACACTTTCTTCCTTGCCGGCGGCTTCTTTGCCTCTGCGAATCATCTGACAAAAGAGCGCACAGGTGCTGGGCTTCTCTACCAGCTTCCTGGCGCAAGACCGCCGCCCATGGCGCTCGAATACCAGAGGACTGTGCAAGAGAAGCGGTTACTAGACGAACCACAATCGCAGATACAAACGTCTTCAATAAAAGAGCAGCTGCAGAAGAGGGGTATCGAGCACAGGAAAGAAGAAGGTCTGGAGAAGATGGCGAAGGAGCTGTGGATGGGCGAAGAAAAAGAGGGCTGGAAGGAGAAACGACTTGCTGAGGAACAGAAGAAGTTGGATGAGGGTGAGGGCTATGGAAGTATGATTGTGGACCAGATTTGGGAGGTGTGGAATTGGGGGGAGAAGAAAGCGGAGGATTTGAAGGAGAAGGATGAGGAGGTCGTGAAGGCGAGGCAAGATGCGAAGAAGAGCTGAGCATGTGCAAGTCTGTCCAATACAATGCATGGATAAACGCCTGTGTTATGGATGCAATGGTCAATGTTGAAGGAACTCACTAACTATGAGCTCTTCTGACGAGAATTGTTGCTCGAGACAGCTTCTTCGCTAGCTGCTCCTTTCGCACATGACGCTTTCCTAACCACCTTACTCCCCCTTGTCAACTGCTCTTCATCCTCCGATCGAACCTCTTCGATAGGTGTCGACCAAAGGCCTCAAAAAGAGAAGTGGAGACGTGAAGACATCCTCTCCTCAAACGCTGGTGTTGCACCAACGATTCTGATACGGCAGATTAGGTGGCCCTCTTGAGTCGTCTCTCCTCAATCATTTGGCCACTACCGGTTATGAACAGGATTCAGAACGAAGCAGAAGTGAGGTCCGAGTTCAGGTCGCTTCACTGAGCTGTGAGGGAGCTATCAGGAAAGCCTTCTTAGATTGCGGGTTCTGAATAAAGACCGAAGCAGACTGGTACTCACACATTGACGGATTGGGCCTTGCTTGTAAGCATTGACATTGGAGGAGGAGGAAGCAACTACAGAAGGCATCGGATTCTTGCCTTTATTGTTGCTGTATCGAACGCTGGAGATATCCCGATGAAGAAAAACGGTATCGTAAGAGGGTCTAACTTGTCACGAACGTCTCTTGCGTCTACGTCGGGCTCGAAGTAGGTCAAGACATACAACCTCCTATCCTGGTGTTGAATATGAATGTCTAAATCGAAGTTTGCAGAGGTGTAAGCAGAGACGTCTCGAACTGGGGATGTGGACAAATTCACGGGATTTCTCAGTGGTGGGGATATCGGAGTCACTGCCAGAACAGACATTGAGATGGTGGCGGTGGGCTTACAATAGTCAAACAAATTTACACGCAGCAGATCTATGAGTATCTGGGGTTTTGTCGCTTGTATCGGATTACGTGGGTAGTCATAAGAGAACGAAAGAGATTGATCATTGCACTAAACGCATGCTCATTCACCGAGCTGGCAGAACTCGGCCGTGCTAGCACCCTTGACCACTGAGAAATGTTTAAAGTCCTTTATCAATTGGGAGCACGGTTAGGTCACCTTGGACGAAGTCAAACTAGAATTCTGAGAGCTCTGAAGGTTGCGGCCTGCTCGTCTGGATCATAGGGTGGGGATTGCACGTTGGTACACTGCGATTTGCCATTGCTGACATGGATGAGCATTAAGAGAAGCTACCTGCTGCCCTTCTCGTATTACGTACAAATCGAGTAATCGGTCATTCTTGTGTAGAATCGCTGTCTCTGTTTCATAGGCTTTGAATGTTCATTCTGTATCCTTTGTGAAGCATTACCCCATAATCGTATTATTACTTCTCAGGAAGTGGTACTACTGTCAACCTCGTCTGGCGAGAGTCCTCCTTCTCCACTTAGCATAGTTCTTTGAGCTCCAACCATGTGTGCGTTTGACCTAGAGCTTGAAGCCCAGTATTTCCCATGTGTGCAAGCAGGATAGCAAATATGAAGTTGACAGCAGACATGCATTCATCTTGTTTCTCGTTCAGCGTCGTTGATCATTAGTATTGCCGCCACGTTCGTGCCACTTCAAACCGAGCTACTACGACTCCTCAAAGAGCCCCATGATGAGCATGGGCTACTTCGTGATCGTCTACCACTGGTCCACCGGCACAGCAGCATATCTGTGACTTCCGTCATTCATGGTTCCGTCAACCTTGATAATACCAGCCGTGATCGACCGCATCACCAAATCGTATTCCGCCGAGTCTCTCAAACCACACTTTGTGCTTCCACTTTCAGCATGAGCCACAAGCGCTGCTGTGGTCTTGTATCGCTTCAAGCACGACGGACACTGAACCTTTTCGCTGACGTGGGCGCTGGAAAGCAGGTGGTCCTGGAAGTCCTTGACGGATGCGAGGTGTTGACCGCACTTCGAGCCGGGGCAGATATAACACTGAGAGATCGCGTTCCAGTAGCGTTGAAGGTCAAGTTGTGAGGGCATGACGAGGTGGGGTTTGGTTTGAACCTGAGCATATGGAGCATTGGGGTCCTGGTTTTCGGGTCGTGCAGCTGGTGGGATCGGTTCTCCCCAGATGGATGGTTGAGAGACCTGGCTATGTTTCGTGCCTCTTGTCGCAATGGAGGATGGTGTAGTGAAATCGACCCCGTCGACTGTGGAGTCATAATCAAGAAGGTTTCTGCTCTTGTTGCCACTTCGGTTGGGTGGAGGGTGATGATGTGACCTTGATTCTTGAGACGTCTGTGACCAGGGTTTATTGTCTGACGTCCAAACGTTCTGAGTACCGGCAAGTGGCTTGCTAGGCTTCACCTCAGGCTCCTTGTTAACGTCAAATAGATCGGATTTTTGGACAGTTGAGCTGGGTGGGTTCGAATCGGAAGTTGCATCGCTTGCAAGGCGTCTCCTGTTCGAAGAAGATGGGGCAGTAGCTGTTAACGGAGGATACTTATCGATGGCAAGGTTAGACAATTTTTCTGTTACCGTGCCCGGTATACCAACAGATACGACCGACGAGCCATGGCCAGCTCGCAGTAAATCTTCCGCAGCTGCGCTCTGCCAATCCGAGTCTGAATCATTGGGCACCCGCTGGTCGTCCAGAAGGTTAGGTCTCCAAGCTGTGTCTGATGGAAGTCCAGATATGGCAGAAGCTCCATGGTACAAGCCGCCTGTCATCTCTTCGAATGCATCTCTTTCGATCTGTTGCTCCGCTCGATGTTTATGGAAATCCTCCCTGGTGATGTGCCTGCATTCATTGTTCTCAATGTGTCCCATGAGACCGGACGCTGCATTGAAAATCTCTCCGCAACCCACGCATTTGATACTCTGCTTCGCCTTATGTGACTACCTAAATGTCAACGAGGCAAAAGCAGGAAGTGTAGTGGAACCACTTACAATGCCAACATGTCGCTCCAGGCCACCGTGACTTTTAAACTCTACGCCACAAAGTGGACAGGCGACTGGACATGGTCAGCAGTATCTCGCAGCTCATGAAGAAAAGACCTACTGTGCTTTGGGCTTATAATTTGATGAATAAGATATTCTGTGTCATCGTTGCAATCTTCGTCGCATTTATTGCAGTAAAAGTCACAGTGAGCAGGATCTTTTGCCTTGTGCTTCTTCATAGACTCCACCGAATCAAAACGGCGATAGCAGTTTTCATATGTGCACTCGATCTTACCAACCATCTTTGCGAGGTTGAGTGAAGAAGAGGAAAATCGAATGAATGAACAAAGTACACGAGAAAGAAGTGGTCGAGAGTGGTCTAGGATAAAAGTGTAACTGTTGCGTTGCGGTGGACGTGTGTTGATTTAGTAAATTATAGAACTGCATCAATTTTGAGTAAGCACCCACAAGTTTGTTTGGGACAGATGAGCCTCTTGCAAGCACGTTGACCTCAGCTTTGACTTTGACAATAAGGCAACAACAGAGAGAGCATTAAAAAGGTCAGGAGATAGTAGTGGAATGGTTGAAGTAGTAGTGGGGACGCATGGCTTTACTGTGTTAGTACTTATGTGAGGGTAGTGAAACACGTGCATTCATTGCTTGTTCACTGAACCAGAACAACCAGCATTTACGAACACCATGAATTCTGAGGTGAATTCTTGCTCAATGTCACGTTTTGCTGTCTAAGTATTGGTTCATCTCTACGTTTCATGCTCATATTCGTTTTCTCGTGTCAGTCGTGATTTACCATCCCTGATCCGTTAAGTGTACACCTCAGCTGTTAGTGCGTTGAAGCTCAACCCTTCCTTGGCGATGTCCTCGTCTGACTTCTTGTTAGCAGGCTGTCTTACATATATCGAAAGGAGATGACTTACCTTGCAAGAAACATAGAGGCATTTCCACCAGGGTGCCTCGAACTTGACTTAGAAGCTCTTTCAGCTCGCGTACACCGCCAGGGAAATCTGTTCGCACAACATGGCCATAC